AAAAAAAAAAAAACAATACTATACAATGACAACAATAGCTATCACTTCCATGCGATCTTACATCACTACAACAAAATAAGTCATCCATTATCGATAGATATAAAAACCGCGTAAAAGAAAATATCAACCTATATGATCCCTCAAAATTCATGTTTTGCTTAGTTATTTGTTATATGTATGTCTACAAATGCTATGAAGATACATATACCTGTAAGTCTCATGACCAAAATTGGCCACCAAAGTATTTACGAAGTGTTAGAAAGCTTCGTCTGCTTCCCTTGCTTCATACCGAAACAATTAAAAAGCCAAGAAACATGAAAAACACAGACACTAAAGCACCACCCAAAAAAAATTAAATCTTTAGTTATGATAATAAAACTTTATTAGAGAATACCGTTCATATAAATTGTCTTTATATAAAATTTCAACATCATTCTACTTCATTAGGGATGCTCGTGTCTTTTTCTTCCAGATAATTTAGCTGCTCGTCAACCCCTTTACCTTTTTCCAGACCAACACGCACGCCAATCAGTCTACTGTTTTACAATCCGTCTTTGGTTTCTATAGATACACCATCCTTGAAAAATTTAGAAAGGACAACTTCATTCGCCAGCATGTACTCTGTTAGAAAATAAAAACAAATATTTACAGTAAAAATAAACAGTAAAAAACATACCTCTTCATGCACCCAAACCAAATCAACAAGAAATTTTTGAGCTCATCAGGGACTGCCTTCATTAAATCTGTGTCATATATTAATGTATCTCATCTCAATATTTTCCATATGGCACCATTTCGACATTCAAAACGACTCAAGAGAATAACTAAATATATAATAATCCATGTGAATTCTCACAGGTTTATTTATGATGTAATTCCTGGCAAAATAGTTGAAACTCAATCCAGGATCCTTTGTTTTTTGCTTATGTCAGAGAAAAACAAAATAACTGAGAAAAAATGAGAGCAACACATTAAAATGAAGAAAAAAAAAGAGATTCAACAGAGATGGGTTTTTAGCTCTTGGTAGAGACAGATAAGTAATAGTTGTAGTTGTCCTTGAAGCTGCTTATAAAAAAAAGAATGAATAAAGAAAAGAAAAAGAACTACATGCACCTCCATCGAGTTTGCCAATCAAGAAGACCATAGCCTCCATGAGATAAAATTCGGCAGCACCAGACAAAACAAAGACGTGTAGTTGCTAAAGAGACCAGCGCCAAACCATGCCGTGACAGCCATACCCAACGATGTCGCTATTTTTTTTTAAGAGATAAACCACAAGTCCATTAACACCTCTCACCCACACTTGTGTTATGTTCCAAGAAAGCAATCCAAAAAATGAATTTTTATCAACAAATAATACATGGGCATTATTCAACAACAAAATTAGAAAAAGCTTGTAACATGTGGAAGAATATGCCTACCTGTAAAAACTGATAGTTGTAAAAACTGATAATAGTAATCTCCAAGAGTCAAAATACTATACTATTCCATGCTCTAGGTGCTCCAAGTCCATGAAACCAACACACCAAAATCCTCTTAAACATGCCTTAAAATTTTAAGTTGATGAAACTAAGAAACACAAGTAATATAGTTAGTACAAACAACGACCATATATGGGTTCATACAAACAAGTACAAACAGACAAAAACTTGAAGCCTGGTGGGAGTCAAAACTATGCTTGAACCAATTCTATCCATGGATACTCTTTTACACAGACTGGAAATTGAGTATACAGCCAGATCCTAAATTTTCGATCATCACAGCCTTGTACCATCTGGGCCTCCTCAACCTCCCAACCAAGTCGTATGTCCACCTTCCTTTTTCCCTTATCCTGCCTACTCTTCTCCCCCTTCGACCTCGAACAACCTGGTCGATCTGGAACATTCTCACTGTACTTCATCTGTTTCCTTGCCAGTTGCCTGTTATTGCTCACAGTAGTTTGGTAGAAACTCCTCGAGGTAAGATGGTCTCCCGCGATCTCGCCCACGTTTTCGCCCACCGGATACTTGATCATCATGTGGTACGTCTACACGACCACTTGAAACGCTTTCAGGCCCGTCCTCCCCAGGATAATATTATATGAGGACTCTGCTCCAACCACGACAAACCTCACCATCCTTACCTTTCGGGTGTCGCCCGACCTAACGCCACCGTCAAGCTCACCTCGCCCATGGGCATCACCTCTCCTCCATTAAGCCCGTATAAGGCCGTTGCCACTGTCTTCAACTCCAAATTCAGGTGCTTATTGATCTACGCGAAGCAATCGTAAAACATCACGTCGACCGAACTCCCCGTGTCGATGAACACCCTTTTCACATCAAAACCCGCAACCTCCGTCGTGATTACCAGTGCGTCGTTATGGGGTAATGCAATTTCCTCATCATCCTCCGCTCGAAAACTGATCACCGGCATCAGAGCAGTAATTCCAACTTCTTCCTGCTTTCGCTTAATTGCTCGGGTACACTCCTTCCTCGCATTATTCGAATCACCATCCGTCAGCCCTCTGGAAATCATCGTGCCTCTTTACGCGGACACCTCTCCTCCCTGCTCTCCTCGACTGTTATTATCTTGCCTTCTCTTCTCCATATCACCCCATCGACCACCTCTCTCTCCCCGAGCATCATCTTCTCCATCATCTTTTCTATCACTCCTCACCAATGCGTCCTCCCTGCACGTCCTCCTCTCTTTCCCTTTTGCTCGATCACGAATCACAAACTCCTTCAAGTGTCCCGCCCTTATAAGGCGCTCAATCTCATCCTTCAAGTGCCTGCAATTCTCCGTGGTAGGCCCCTAGTCCCTGTGGAATCGACAGTACTTGTTCGACCGGGGTTGGGTAGGCTGTAACGCCCATATTTTTTAATTACTATTTATGGAGCTCGACTATATTTCCATAAATATTAAGTTTCTAAATTTGATGCATTTATTATATTTATTTGCATTAAATAAAATAATTAACATTAAAGACTAAGCCATGGAGAATTTATATTTTAATTATGAAAGTCGAATTTATTTAGCCCAAATATCGGATATATTTTATTAACCGAGCCTTAACGGAAATTTATTGAAGCGACCGAAGCCGAATAATTCATTTATTCGAGCCTAATCATTTTCGAGCGAGTCCAATTATTTTAGCCGGCCCATTTAAGTTAATCGAGCCTATGTTCGATTTTATTTAGGCCCATTTCATTTTAGTAAATCGAGCCCAAGTTCAATTTAATTTTAGTTCATTTTAAAAATCGAGCCTATGTCGATTTTTAAAATCGAGCCCCAATTATTTTAGCAATATTATTGACTAATTTAATTAGTCTAGGTCCGGTTAATTTTATTAACCGAGCAATAATTCTTTAGTCAATATTCGATTTAAATCGAGCCCAAGTCGATTAAATTACTAGCCTGGTCTTAGGATTTTCATAGGCTCGATTATTTGAGTCCAATAAGACTACAAAACCCTAAGTCTCTTACTTGCCTATAAATAGCACATATCCTCTGTTCCAAACATCAAAACCCTAGCCTACATCATTCACTATTCATCTTCTTCCACTTTCATCTTCAAGACCAAAAGTACACCATTTTCTTCCACCATGAATTCCGACCATTTTTCCGGCAAAGCTTACATTTCCGGCGAGCCCAAACCCACTGGCGTCCAAGGCTTCCATCGAACCCGAGCTCCCCACGGCCAAGCCCGAAGTCCACGCGGGTCCAGCCCACCAACTCAAACACGCGACCAATTCCGACCTCCGGCCAGTCACCACAGCTCCGCCCATCTCTGAATCGCCGGTAAACTGTAGG